TCTGGCTGGTCTCCGCTCGCTGCCCCGGCATAGGACTTGAGCCATACTTGAGACAACCTCCCGAGCCTGCTAGCAATTACGTGCTCTCAGTCACTTTTAAAAAGGCCATATTTCTTTACATTTCTAAGACCTAATGTGGGGTTATGTCGGGTCATGGGACCCTTGGCTGGTGCAAAGTAATTTGATGTCATTGAGAGCAAACCGACTCGTTTGTCACCCAGAGGAATGGACATCCCCTCGGGGCTGAGCTGCAAGCAGGGCAAAGCGGGCTGGCTGTGGGACCCAGCCACGGGTCTGGTGCTGACTTAGCCAGGTGGGCTGGGAGGCGGGCTGTCTGAATTGTTCACGTAGGTGCAGGGGAGTGACGGGTCAGCTCTGTTCCAAGGACACACACCAGCTGGTAGAGCTTGCATGGAACCCAGACTGTTTCAGGCCCTTGGATCCTAAGTTCATTTTCTACAGGATCCAAGTCTCAGTTTTTCATTCCCTAAAGTGAAGGCTGGTTATATCAGGAGCAGTCCTTCCCCCTAAACCTCACTTCACTCACTGCTGCTCTAATGGTCTGTATCAGTTTCAATAAAACCTATGGGATTCTCTACCTGAGAAATAAGATTCACCCAGCTAAGAGGTATGAAGAGGAGAAGGCAGAAGGAACCATACCTCTTATACTCCTTTGGGAATGCACTTCAGGGAAGAAAATGCACTTCAGTGTATGACAGGGCTGGCTCACACCTTGGCAAAGGGCTTCAAAGCATTTGCCTACAATGGTATCATCCACTGTTTCTAGTTACTTTCATTTTTGAGGGGGTAGGATAACACAAAGCCAAAAGAATAGGGTTCCCTAAGCCCTCCGGTGAGAAACAGGGAGTGTTTAAGCCCTGGAGTATAGTAAGCTGGGCTTTCCTGATAGCTCAGTTGATAAAGAATCTGCTTGCAATGCAGGAGACCCTGGTTCTATCCCTGGGTCAGGAAGATTGGCTGGAGAAGGGATAGGCTACCCACTCCAGTATTCTGGGGCTTCCCATGTGGCTCAGCTGGTAAAGAATCTGCCTGCAATATGGAGACCTGGGTTCGATCCCTGGGTTGAGAAGATCCCCTGGAGAAGGGAAAAGGCTAACCACTCCAGTATTCTGGCCTGGAGAATTCCATGGACTGTATAGTCCATGGGGTCACAAAGAGTTGGACATGACTGAGTTTGGAGAAGGCAACTTGATGGGCAAAAGGAGGGAGGAGGCCATTTCTGACCATCCTGGAACGGGCATAAGAGGGGGTCTTCCTATGGAGGGCAACTCTCAGCATCATTAATGTCCCCTCAGGCCCCATCCCAGAGGGCCTGGAAAGTCTATCAGTGGATCCATGAAGTCCCAAGGTTCACACATAGAAATGTGACACATACGCATGCCTTATCCTTCTGTATCATTGGAAAGTATCCTGAGGCTGCTCCTCCTCCCTAGTAATTCTTAGATGATGTGTGCCACAATCAGTGGAACAAAAGAGAAAACTTAGATCCAGCTAAAGTGGTCAGCCATGAGGGCCCGAGGAGAAGACCCTGCTTTAAACAGGTGATGCCGCCAACAGAGAAGTTGTAATTGGCATCTCTGAGGAGGAGGCCTGCCCAGAATCTGCCTGCCTTTCTGCCCGCCTGCACGTTAGGGAGAGGCACTGGTGCAGCTGGGAGAGCTAATATAAGAGATGGCACTCATAGTGGGGTTCATTCTCCCAGGGTCCTGAAAGGCACCAGGTCCTCCATAGAAATGAGACAGTCTGGGCAAGAAGAAGAAGAAGATGGAGCAAGGTGCAACGGCTCTGCAACACAGATGCAATGAGAACACACTGCATCTGGCTGTGCACCTGGGCAGCTGGGCTCCTCAGTTTTGCAGTTTGCATGGCCACCACCAGCAGGCCATGTGATGGGTGATGAGAACTCAAAGCCGGTAACTGGGTGGGATGGCCTTTGGGGGGATCTGCCTCCTATGAATTCTGCCGCTGTCTGTGCTTCCCAGAGTCGCTAAGTACCCTGGAGGAGAACCCACAGGTGCACTCCACCACTCTATTGGCTCTGGGTTCAGGATCCCTAGTAAGGGTTGAATGAAAATCAGAGGAACCTGGGTCCAAGTGGCCTCAGTTGGCTGATTAGGACCACAACCTGGAGACTGGAAAGCCAGTGAGAGCTGGACCTGTCCTCTCCAAGGTAGAAATAGTGTCTCAGCCCTGAGTGGGATTTCTGCCCTGACTGGAAAACTTTGACATAGTCGCCGGCTTTGACGGCACGGCCAGGGAGAAAGGGTCTTCTCTTTTCAGCCCTCCCACCCTCACCATTAAGCAGTAGTCAGGATCGCGGCAGGCAGAGGCCAAGGATGCTCGCGAGACGCCGCTGCAGTTGCGACCTCTTCCCACTAGATGTCTTCCCAGTTAATCAGAATTGAAGGGCGCTGTCTGTTCCCCGGCCGAGACTCGGTTTCCCCTGCCGCTTTTTGAAGTCTGGAGTTCCGCTGGGAAAGCAAACCTTTTTCTTTCTTTCTTATGGCCCCCCACCACGCCCCGTGCTCCAAATCCTGGCTGTGGAAATCCATCAGAATTAAACGCTGACTCCCTGCAGGCCCGAGTTGGACCCGCTCAAGGCATTGGAATCCTTTTATGACCTTTGATGTGTTTAAATGACATGGCAAGGTTGAGGACACACCTCGGATTAAACTTTAATCGGCTGCTGTCAAGGTCGCCCAGGTGGTAAATGCGTTTCCTCCGACGTCTTCTGGCAGACACTGTGGGGTCCAAGGTTTGGGGCTGAGGTCCTACTGTGCCCTCCTGCCTCTGCTCAGGCCTGGGTGGGGGCCAGGATGAGAGCCATCCCACTGGGCCCCAAGGAGGACTGAGGAAATAGGATCAATGGAGGCAGACACCCAGGGTGGGCTAATGATGGGAGCACACTTTTTATAGCTATTAGACAAAATAGTTAAAAATTCCAAGAGGCACTTCCAATTTTTCCTGACTCCAGAGAATAGTTATAGATCGAAAGTCATGGTCAGTGCCTTGATTATTTCCCCCAGCATGTTTCTGGTCACTCAAGGAGCGATTGGGGTTGCTGGTAATGATGGGTGGTGAGCCAAGTTAGTTGATTGTTTTGCAGGTTGCCAAGTCCTTTAGAGGTATATCAGGATCTAGAATCCAGGCTATAATGACCCTTCCCCTGTGCCAGGCCACACAAGGTTAGCATGAATGTCATCTGGGTTGAGTCACCAGGGCTGAACATAACTTTCTGAACCAATACATGTGTCATGGAGAATTGTCTTGGACAGTTACTTAGGGAAAAAAATCCAAGGCCAGGGCAGCATGCATATTGAGGGCTACCAGTGTGGTTTAAAAAAGAAGGTGTATAATAAGAGCTGGAAGGATAGTCAAGCCACCAATAACAGCAGCTTCCTATGGAGTAAACTAGGGATCAGAGGGTCAGATGGTGAATTCATTTTTTGCTATAAATTCTTTTGTATTGTTTGCATTTTGTACCAATTTCATGTGTTAGCCAGTGGGGTAGCACTTGTCAGGAAATAGGGTGCCCTGTTCATCTCACGGCCAAACATGTCTGTAGGAAATTCCCTCCACATATCAACCTAGATTTGTACTCAGAGGAGACACTGAAATAAGACACTTCAAAACTTAGACCTTACCCCTACAGGCATCTACTCAGATTCCTATCCCTTGGGAGGGATTCTCAGGCCTTTCTCTGCTGGGCTTGCTCTAACCTGGAATTGAACATGCCAGCCCAGGATATAAAGTCCCAGCTGCACATAGCAACAGGAGAACCCCATGGTCTCAAAACGAACTGAAGTCTTATCTTCAATTTCCCCCCAATCTCTGTGTGCCTGGGGGTTTGTAGACAAAAACCCATCCATGTTCCTTCAGTTCAGAGATTCTCACAGCCCTTAACCATGGTGTGAATAGTAAATATCCTTTCTGTGTATATTTGGTTTGTCAATTTTTGTTGCTGAGGGTCAAGAGGCTCCACATACTTGACCAGGGTGTTGACTTCTTGAGTTAGAGACAATAATGTTATCGCTGACTAAAGTTAGTTTTAAAAGTGCTTCTTCATGGAGCCTTTTGGGGGTTAGTAATTCTCTGTATTTTGATCTGGGTAGTAGTTACACAAGTATATACACATATAAAAATTCAGTGAGCTGGGCGCTTAAGATTTTTATGCTTTACTATATATGTAAGTTATATGGCAATAAAAAAAATTTTAAGTGCTTCCTCATAACAACCTGTGAAGTAGGTCCCGTGGTTATTATAATCATCTCCATTTTACAGACACAGCAAGTAAGACCCAAGGGAAGCTAGAGTGTCCCTGGCCTCGGTGGGAGAAAATAACCACTCCCAGCTTCCTCCTCCCAATCTTGCTGCTTCAATAGGGAGCACTTTCTTTTCCAGCAGATTTCTCAGGTAACAGGAACCAGCCCTGTCTAAAGACACCCTTCTCAGGATGGTTGTGAGGTGGGGGAGGTGATAACCAGCTCCTTCTCCAAAATGTTCAGCTTCTGAAGAGGAAAAGGATGGGAAGAGCAGTGTCCAGAAGCTATAAGGCCTAGAGGGCCCCACTTACATCCCTCAAATGAGGAAAGTGGCCTCCGGCTGGGAACCTATTTTCTTCTCCTTATTCCAGTCACCCGTGCCCCGGCACAGAACCTTGGGAGCCCTCCCTCATCGCAGGACACCTCTCCAGGAGGCTGCACCCTCCTTCCCATAAACAGGCCCCCCCTCACCTCAGGCACCTTTTCTCAAAAGTACCAGAAGGGATGGGGTGGGGGTGCTCTGAAATTACGGTGGCTGCAGTTTAGATGGCTGAGGACATATAAATCGGTTGTTATTTATTCCAGGCACAGTCGCAAAAGGCTTCCAAAAATATCGAGCCGAGATATTTTATTGTTCAGGCTGTCTGCAGCCTGTAATTATGCGTTCAAGATGTTTAATGTGTGCAAATGCATTAGCCGCTTTCGCTGGTGAAAACCCTAGCTGGGAGCGGGGGAGAGGCAAGTCTGGAGATAATTATGTCGTACAGTCGCAAACATTATTCTGCTCTTACTGTAAACGGCCTCAGCCACCTTTACGAGAAGCCAGGAAAACTTGGAGAGTTTCTCGTAGCATTTACGCCGGCAAAGTGGTTTCCTTCTTTCGTTCTTTCTTTTTCTCCCGTATTGTTCGAAGTGTCTATTGGGCGGCGTCTGTGCCAAGTTCAGGGGCGCGCCAGAGAGAAGGCGCCGGCCGAGGAGCGCCCGGAGCCGCCCGCGCGGGTGTACGGAGCCCGGGGCCCTTGGAGGCCAGGCCTGGCGCGCGGGCCTAGCAGCCGGAGGGGGCTGGGCTGGTGGCCTGGGGCCCTGGCGGCCGCGGACAGCCTCCAGCATGGGCAGGAGCGAGCTCTGCAGCTCTTCTCGGCCGTTCGGGTCTCATCCGCACTCTCCGCACCTTCCCATCAGGCCGCGATCCGCGCACCCGCAACACTCCTGCGAGACTGCTCCGGGTGGAAATGGACCGCTGGGCAGAGGCCCTGGGCCCGCGATCCCTTGCTGGGGAGCGGTGCGGGTTCGGCTCTCATCGGGCTGACCCGGGGTGAACTGGCTATTTTGGGTCCCGGGTGCTGCGGGGCCAAGAGAACAGCTGGGATGGGGGACCCCCTCCCGGGCCGGCATGTCCGCGCCCCCATCCCCACCCGGCCCTGTGGCGCCAGGGGCTCTCCGGGAAATTGGTACATGCCTTGTGCTGGCACCTCCCACCGCGCGACACGTACGTCTCGGTCCCCGTGTTCAGGCAGCGGCTCCGCCAGCCGGGTGTGAGTGACCAGCACAGGGGCTGCAGTCGAGGACGCCGACCGGCCCCCTGAGGGACCAAGGCGCACGTGTGCCCGCCAACCACAGCCTCGACTCCCCGGCTTTCTATTCCAGCTCAGCCTTTTAGAGCAAAAACAAGGCCGCCGTGTGGAGCAGCAGGAGCGGCTCCGGCCAGAGTGCCAGCGCTTGGGTGCACCTCTGGCTCCGCGATCCCCGGAAACCCCTGAAGTGCGGCCCTTGGGAGGCGGGCGGGGGCGGCTGCAGGAGGCTCCTCTTTTGGTGGAGGCCGGCAGCCGCCCTACGGGAATCACTGGGTCCCCGGCTCGGTTAGCGCAACATTCAACCTCGGGCTTGTGTCCTCCCATTTCTCCTTCGGAAACCAGATTTTGAAACTCATTTTTGGCCGCTGATTAAAAACAAAACGAAAACATTGGGCGTTCATTCCATCATATGGGACACTTAGAAAATCCGTGTAGGATCCAGGGTGTGTTTTCTAAGACCTGGCAGCGCTGTTGCCCCCCAGCCCCGGGGCATGGAGAATAGGCGGGTATGGAAGGATCTAGAAGGATGATGTAATCCCATGAGGGGAAATACACAGAGAAGAAAAACAAAACCCAGGAGACATACATGATTTGCTTTTGCTTCAAATGCATCATCCAAGGGGAATCCCTTTGGGCTGCACTTACTTGAGTTCAGGGGTCTGGGTCTTTAGATCTCCCAATATTGGGCAAGGTGTGAGCTTTCCACCTCTCCCTTGAGGGTGCAGGCTCTTGCTAAGGGAGATGGAAGGGAGAAGAAAAGCCTAGTAGGGGTCGTGAGTGGCTGCAACCCCCAGTGTAAACTCCATGACTTGGATGCCTCCACATAATAAAATCCTCACGACTCCCAGACTTGGTTAGTGATGCAGCAGCTAGAAATTTGGGGACAGCAAGACCCTGGCAGGAGGTGCAGATAGAAGCTTTCAGAGAAGCTTTCAGACTCTCCTTGTTCTTCCTGTGTCTCCCTTTCTCTCCATTCAAGGGGGTCAGACCTCCAGGTTCAAGTGGCTTTGCTCCCAGACCCTATTTGGATGAGATGGAGAGACTGGGAAGTTTGAGGAGGGGTCTCTTGCTGGTGGTTCAGACCTCAGAGGCTCCAGAAGTGGCCACAACCTATCCCGCCCCCCCCCCCAAAAAAAACCTACAAACTTAACCACACTCAGTGTCCCACAAGGTTGTGACCTGGAGAGCCTAAAAATGCCATCTTCTAACCCAGAGGTACCTGGTTGCCTGAGAAGCTAAGCAGGAATTTTGCAAGCAGAAGGGAACAGGGAGTGGAAAAGCCATGGTTTCTGCTGATTTCCTTAGTCCAAAATCAGTGCTTACAGAAGAAGGAGGGCACGTGTCCTATTCTGCTCTCTCGAATGTAATTTTTCTTTCTCTCACATGAAACTGAGGGTTTCTAAATGTCCTCACAGCAATTTGATATTTGATCCTTCCTATGGGAAATGTATCTGATCATGGCCTTCCTTTCTCTCCTCCTCCTATGTTCTTCAGCCTCCTCAGAAGAGCCCACAGAAACACGGGAAGGCCCATGGGGAATCTCTTGCTGCTGGAAATGACACTGCGTGGGACCCAGAATCCAGAAATGGTGAGTGGTTTCCCTTCAAAGCTGCCTGGGTCCTGGGGCTGGACAGCCAGGGGCCCTCCCTTGCCACTGCACCCAGCCAGGAAAAGGGGTGGGCTTTCATGAAAATGGGTGAATATAGGGCCACCTGGAAAAATTAGCTTTCTTAGCTCTCTAGATCACCCAGAGGAGGAATTCTCTGGCTGGGAGTGATTGTTGCCAATTCCAGTTTCCAGATTTGGTTTTCCGGCCCAGGAAAATTGGGGCCTTCTTTAAGTCTTTTCCTAGAAGTTATATGCTCACTCGTTCTTCGGCTGTTTTCTATTAGCCAAATAGAGACTTCGCATGAGATAATCTCGGTTTCTCCCTGTGACCTCTGAAACATATAATTTGGGGGAGATACTGTATTTAAAATGCCAATCCCCATAATGAGCCCAGCTTACCAGTATGAGCTCCCACCCTCCCCTTAATGAACAGAGCTGTCGAGAAATAATTTCACTTTGATCTAGTTTGTGACCTGATTTTTTGGCTTAAAGAAGACTGGGCAGCTAATTGGATTCTTCAGTTGCCTTTAATCTCCACCTCAACACTTGGAACCTGACCAAGCTGAATTAAATCAAGTCTGATAAACAAGAATGGAGCTGGCTCCCAGGTTAACAGCAGCAAGAAAATCCCCCACCATGGTGGGGTTTAATGATCACAGCGTGGCTGGCACCTCACAAAAAAACATGAGGCTGTAGGCCCCCAGAACCTGCAGCACGGAAGTCTTCAGAATCCTTTCCCCTTCCCTCCCAACACCCTGGATGTGGTTTAATTAGAGAGAGAAGGCGGGGTAGAGGGAGGTGGGGAAGACAAACTTACAGTTGGTGAGAGAGGCAGGGTTGGGGGGTTCATCTCAAAGGGAGGCAGGACGTTGAGGAGACTTTGTCCCTGGGAGAGGAAGCAGGCTGAGCCTTTGAGGGCTGGACAGTAAAAGATTGCAATTGAATTTCCAACTGTGCTCCAAGAGTGAGGGGGTGCAGGAGGGAAATAGGAGATGAGGGGCAGGGTTATGCAGCCTGAGGGGCTGGGAATCATGGGTTTTGTTTAATCTTTTCAGATGCCAGGATTTTGTGTTCTGCAGGCAAAGCAGAAGGAGGAAGGAGTATGTTGGGACCTCCCCATTCTTAGTGTGGGGTCCGAGAGAAAGCCTTCTCTTGGGCTCCTCCCCACCAGCCCCATGCTCCAATTTGCTCTCTGCCTAGGTTGCTGGAGAGTTCTGAGGGATTACTTCCTCCAAGGCAGTGGGCTTTTGGTTTAGGTCAGGATCTCTCAGTCTAGGCACTATTGACATTTTGGGCTGGAATATTTTTTGCTGTGGCGGGTGTCTTGTGTACTGCAGAATGTTTAGCATCATCTCTGGCTTCTACCCTCTAGATGCCAGTAGATCCTACCCCAGTTGTGACAATTTAAAGTGTCTCCAGACTTTGCTAAATGTTCCCTGAGGCTCATAATCATCCCCCTGTGGAGAATTACTGGTTTAGACCCAGGTGAAGCAGGCATTTCTGGGGGGGGGGGGGCGGAATGGAGTGCTCAGAGGGGGGGCCCAGTTCTTAAAGTGCTAACCTACTGTGTCCCCCTTTTGAGTAGCAAAGAAAATCACACTTTCTTTCTCAAAAAAAAAAAAAAAAAAAAAAAGGAGTGCTCTGCTTGAAGTGATCTTTGTAGAGTTCCAGAGAGCTGGGGAAGCAGGATGGGAACCGGTCTCTTCTTTTTTGGCCTTCTGGCCAGCTGGGTCATGAGCACCTTCTCAGGGCTGCCTTGACCCTCCACTTGGAACACCTTCATGAAGCCTTTTAGAAGCCTATAGTTTCTAGAGCATATAATCCAAACCATTAGACATACTGAATCCAGGACAAATGTGTGTGTGTTTAGATGCTGGAGGAAGGGGATTCAGGCCTCACCTTTTCAGGCAGGCTTGAGTGAAAGAAGGGCTTCCTAGGTGGCGCCAGTGGTAAAGAATCCACCTGCCATGCAGGAGACTTGGGTTCTGGGTCAGGAAAGATCCCTGGAGGAGGAAATGGCAACCCACTCCAGTATTCTTGCCTGGAAAATTTCATGGACAGAGGAGCTTTGCAGACTACAGTCTACAGTGTTGAAAAAGAGTTGGACACGACTGAACACCAAGTGACAGAAAGCTCCTTTCCTTGTCATAGCTGGTCTTGAAGTGGGAAATGGCTGAGTCGTGTGCAACCTGTTGATGCTATCAGGGAGTAGAGGGCCTCTTTCAAGTGTGGAGGTGGGAGTTGGTCTCTGTGATGCTGGTGGGCAGATGCTTATCCAGTGGCTGCAGCCACTGCTTCCCTCCAGCTCTGAGACCTAGCTGATCTGGCCCAGCAATGTCTTCTGACCTAGATTTTCTAGAAACTGTAAGGTCCAGGAAATTATGAGTTTGGCATTATTTATTGAATATTTGGCATTATTATTCTAATTCTGATGGAAAACAATTTTAAAAATAAGAATTTTTTATCACAATTCAGCCATCTCAACCTGATGCTTCCTCTCTTCTTCCCCCTTCCTCTTTCCCTCCTTTTTTTCCTTCCTCTCTCTACCTCCTCTTCTTTCCTTCTTTCCTTTCTTGTTTTCCTTTCAGAATGTGTCCATGCACATATAACACAAATGAAGGAAAGTAAAGATTGAGAGAGATTAGCTTATTCCCATGGATAGTTCTATCAAGCTTAAATATCAATAATAAGACCAGGGATAAACTAGGTGATCCTTGTGCATATTTTTACCACAGGTATTCTGGGTCTCTTTTTCAGAACAGTTTACAAGCATTTAGGGCTAGCTAGACACCTTTAGGAGTCAGGGTCTCCAGCTGTATTAAGCTTCAGGTATGTGACAAAAATCACTGAGTGCTCACAGAGTGCTAATCACTGCACAAATATGAACTCATTAATCTGCCTAACAATTCTAGGAATTATTACTGCCAT